GGTAGCCAGTGTTTAAGTTGCTTATCATTGTCAACCCTATGTACTGAGGGGGTAGGAATGATCTTTGCTGTAAAGATTCGTTACCTCTTTTAATCTACTACATCCATAAATATAGGTCAAGTTCATCAAATTGTAGCAGATTACTTTTTTATTTTACCTCTTCTTTCTTCCTCTAGTCAAATTCTGATTATCTAGCCATTGAAGCCAGGTCAGATGGGTGTTATCTGCATGTATGGGTGTTCTTGTGCATCTCCCCTCACTTCATATCCAGCTGTTGGTTTTTGAACTGTTGACCTTGTGGTTCGTATTCAGTGCTGATCCTATGGCGCCACACCAGGAATCTGAGAAAGAACGTAGTTAAAGCATACAGAACATCCATTAATTATACTATTTAAGAAATTCTTATCCAAATAAACCCGAGTTTTCTAATATGAAGTCTTAGAAGATGCTTGCTCAAGCCTGTAAAATTTGTTTCCTAATTTGATATGCAAAAAAAGAAGATAATAAAATTGCTCATAAAAGAACATGGGTTTCAACAAACCTTTAAAGACTACCATTCTCTTGAGAACATCAAGGATTCTTGCTTTTGTGTATTTGAGTTGCTTTTTTTTTTTTTTAAATGATAATATTTTTGGCTTTCAGGGAAAGGCGGAGGAGGAGGAGCAGGAGTTCTTCCAGATCACCAAGAACATCAAAGACCATAAAAAGAAAATCTTCTAGGTCTCCATCCCCTAGGAGGTAGGTTGGAAAGAATGTGCTATAACTAAAGAGGAGGAGGTCAGAATTATAAAAATTGTAAAGAATTCTGTTCTGTTTAATTAATTTGAAAAATTTAACATTTTGATTTCTGAACCATGTAAACATACCACTTGTTCACTGTGAAGTCTTAACTTCCACCCATACGCCATCTATTCTACGTTACAACTCTTAATATCCTTTCATTTTTTTTTTTTAAGTTTTTATTGTGAATTGAGTGATAGTTTATATGGGAGAACATCGGTTTTATACTCATTGTTTCATTGCAATTACAGTCCCCTCCGTGCGTCATCATTCAATATTATTTGCTTTTATTCTGTTGGGTTTTTTTTGGAGGGGCGGGGCGTGGTGAATGTACACCCAAACATTCAGCAATATATAATCATTAAAACAACCAAAGGGCACATTCTGCAAGGCTGCCTCTTTGGCCTCCAGCACACAGCCTTTCTCTTTGCATGAGTCTAGAGTCCTCAGCTGCTTGCTCTCTCTCCATGTCCTCATCTCTGCCTCCATCTTTGGAGTCACTGCTTCTCTGGAT